CTGTTAGGAGAAAATTTTATATTTTGAATGTCGAATTATTTTTAGTCAAGTCAAAATTTACGTGTACGCTGATAACAAGAGCTCCCCCCCCTCCCCTCCTTCCGCATGCAAACCCGAGCAACGCGGGGTAAGTTTGCTAGTACACTATAAATCTCAGTCGAGCAATGTTTGGTGCATCTGTGCAAAGACGTACGTGGTAAGAGGATTGCATAATTTCTATAGCGAGGCTGTTGCGCAAATAAACAAACCATACACATCTTAATAACAATTAATATGTAAATTTAACCAAACGATAGGATCCAAACAAAAAAATAGTTAAAAAATGATGCAGTTTGTCATCAAGTTTGTACATTTTTCAAATTAGTATCTCAGCTAGTGCGATGATCGTTACTAGGATCTCAGCTAATGAGATAATCGTTACTAGGATCTCAGCTAGTGAGATTATCGTTACTAGGATTATCTTCATTTCAAAACATGACAGGTGTGAAAAACTTAAAATGATAATTTGCCATTTTCGTTTAAATTCAAAAGTTACAAGTCATTCCTGTTAACATCCGAACCTAATAAGGCTTCAATGTGCTGTTTTGCATATAATTGTTATATTATATGGATTAATAATATGTTCAACTCAAGGCATACAAGATTTCACTATAAGAATACAAAACAAGACTTCTCTACAAGAATTCATTGCAAGACTTCACTGCAAGACTTCAATCCGATACTTCACTGCTAGACTTCACTGCAAGACTACAATACAAAACTTCACTGCAAGACTTCACTGCAAGAATTCACTGAAAAACTTTACTGCAAGACTTCACTGCAAGACTACAACACAAGATTTCACTGAAAGACTTCACTGCAAGTTTTCACTGCAAGACTTCACTGCAAGTTTTCACTGTAAGGCTTCACTACAGTACTTTACTTCAAGACTTCAATGAAAGACTTCACTTGGATGACGCGGACACAAAATTGACCAAAACGTTGTCTGAAAACCACTGATAACAGGAAACTTTGCACGAAATTTGATTGTATTGCCATTTGTTCTTGGTCCGAGAAACTTGGTCGTTTGTTTGCTGCGCATAATATCGTATCTGGAAACTTGTAAGGTGTACTGTGTGATAAAATATCGTAATGCCGTCATAGCGTGAAAGGATGAAGGGGGCACCTGTCCTATGTGCAAACATGGGGGGGGGGGGGGGAACAATAAATCGTCAATACACTAGACCATACAAATGTAAAGTACACGAGTGTTTTGGTCTTATTTATTGATGAAACTTGCAGAGAGTAAGGTGAGCGAAAGGTTGGGGCGGTGTTTTTCAGGCTTTGCGCCCCGGGCGCAAGTTTTTCTTCGCACGGTGCCCTGTTTGCTTTCTAATAATTTTTCCTTTCTAATAATTACTTCTAGTCACATTATTTTGTATATATTACTTCCCCAAGAATTATTTTTTTAACCAACGTTAAAAGTATGTTGCTCTGTATGTAGTCACATCTAAAAACATAAAATTAACAACGACATTACTTTAATTGTTGACAGTAACTGGACTGCGTCTAGCAGTATCCACAGGCAGTGATTATTTCAGAAATTTCCCAAGGGGGGGGGGGATGCAATTCAGATTTTTCGCGGGGAGGGGGCAGTGCCATCAGTACCATTTGATTTATTGTTGGACATATTTTTGCTCGGGGGGGGTGGGCACTTGGCGTTCCCTGGTTAGGCGGCGATGCCTCCCCCCCCCCCTTGAGAAACCCTGTCCCCAGGTCCACTAGAGACTGAGTCCGGGTTATTGCATGCACAGTTTACCTACCAAGAGTTCTCTGCACCTGAAAATCCGCTTAAGTTCAAATTGAGAAGACTGCAAATATTTAATGTTGAAGCTGATGAATTTAAGTGACCTTGCGTAAGTTACATTTATTTCAAGTGTGAGCATAATTGACAAAAACCTTTTCATTTAAATAAAAGTATAAGTCTTTACAATAATCCAAGCACCTATTAAAACAAACGATAGCACATTTTTAAAGGTCGGCAGCCTTCAGGTATTTCCTGGTATAATTATTTATATTGTATAAAGCATTTATGTATTCATTTGTTATCGTCTCATAAGACATGCAAATGAATTCTTTAATAAATAACCTCAATGTAATGTGGTCTTTGCTGCAATGAAAACATAAAATGCCTAGGATATCTGAACATGATAATACTTGTCATCTCATGTACATTGCAATAACAAAATTGATACATGATTAAATGAGATTCCAAATAAACAGCACGAACAGATTCCATATAAACAACAGGAAGAGATTCTACACAAACAGCAGGAAGAGAGTCCATATAAACAATAGGAAGAGATTTTATACAAACAACATGAAGAGAGTCCATGTAAACAGCAGTAAAAGATTCCATATAATCAACAGTAAGAGAGTCCATATAAACAGCAGGAAGAGAGTCCATATAAACAGCAGGAAGAGAGTCCATATAAACAGCAGGAAGGGATCCTATATAAACAGCAGGAAGATAGATAGTCCATACAAACAGCAGAATGAGAGTCCATTTAACAACAGGAAGATAGATAGTCCATACAAACAGCAGAATGAGAGTCCATTTAACAGCAGGATACGAAATGTTTTAGCTACGGATTTTTAAAAAAAGTTTAAGACGAAAAAATAACCCTTAGAAATATATTCATCCCATTTGTTCTATTCAGTTCGAAGGTTTAATGGTAAGTATGATAATTACTACTGTGTGGATCTTGTCACAAATGACTGTGGCGGGGGTACAGGACAGAGCTCCATTGTGGTTAAGATAACTTATTGGATGGACGGAAACTGCTGTTAGTTTAGGGACGCCATTGTTATGGGGGGTAAATTAAGGTTAATAGATTGTCTCATCTTGGAGATAGAGGGGATGGTTTCTTTCCATGACTTGGCATGATAACTTTTGGGTTACCAACGGGAAGTTCTAATTGACCGGAAATTAAGGGACAGGGGTGTGTTCATAGATAGCATTCCTGGACCACCTATGGGGGTAGAGAATCACATATAAGACAGAGCTTTCACGGAGTTAAAGTTAGTTGAGGAAGAGGGAACAGAATTACGACATAGTTGAGGAAGAGAGAGAAAAGAGCTAAGAAAGAATTGAGCAGTTCCTAGGGAATAGTTGCTAGAGATCAGGAGACGTCAGATTACTAGTGGAACATATGAGACGATATAGTTAAACAGTTTAGAAACAGTCGTAGATGGCTGACAGTTAGTGAAAACTACTGAAGAACTTTTTATTTGTGCAATAAATAGAGTCTAGTTTACCATTGGACACCTGGAGTTTGAGTTGTTGGATTTCGTTCTCGTTCAAGTCGTTGTGCTTTGTCTGTCCCAACGCCTAGATACTCAACATATAAATCACAGAGAGGGGCGGTCCTGACCATCAATACAGTTTGTGATAAGTCAGGCCCGGAGCCCTTCTCCTTAACAACCGCTCTGCGACAGATCAATTCACTAATCTGGACACGTAATGTCCGGCAAAGAAATTACCTCATTAGGTGAAGGCAGCTTGTGGATAATAGGTTGCAATCGCCTTAATGAAGACTTTGTAAACAGCAGATGGTAAACACTGCAATTAGCTAGTATAATGATGTCAGCTGGTACTGAAAAATTTCATCACGGGGTGGGGGAGGGGGGGGGGAGAGGTCCGACCAGGGGCGGCAATGTGTTCTAAATGTGAAAGGATGACACGGGCCCCTGCTACGCAACTTGCTACATACAAGGCACACTTATAAACCCACCCGCCTGCAAAGCCACTGCAGTTGAGCCCTGTAGGCACACTACACACACCATTATTCGTTAGACCAAGATGTGTTGACCTGGGGGAATGCTCCATGGCGCGAGACATTTCCGACGAGAGCAAGTAGGTGCTGCCAGTGGGTAGTTTATCTGTGGATGATTTTTCAGTGGATCGTGTCAGAGGACGTTTGTCGCTAATTCTACTTCTGCTAATGGTAGGTTGCCTACTACTTACTACGTGGGTTTATTGACTAACCTGAACACATGATGACCGACACTTATTTGGGGGAGACTTTTCAACCTTAGACCAGGGGTCACCAGCCCAAAAGGCTTCATGGGCCACTTTAATGGCGAGTTTTCTCAAAATTTAAGAACATTTTAAAATAAAAACCCACTAAATGGTTTGCAAAATTATTGATCTCTTCTTAAAATGAACTGCACAATAACAAACATGTCAATATAGTAGTCTGTCTTTTCTCTCACATTTTGTAATAAATGTATTTGTAATATTTAAACGGGACCGCACCGCCCCCCTTTTTTTTAGTTTTTGTTAAATAAAGTAATCAGTGCAATTACCTTTTTCGTGACGTCAGCTAGACTCGATAAACTTGGTCGTTTAAAGGGTAGGCTTTTTATGTCGTTGACTTCGATCCGTCTGGTGGAAACTTTGGCACAAGTCCCACAGCCATAGAGCTTGGTCAATAAAATAGCAACGGGGCGAAATCCACGTCAAGGGCAGTAGGTTATGTAATATTTCTAACCTTGTTTTGATGCACTTTATAAATGCTTGACTGAGTGGCGTAGCTAGAGGGGTGCGGACCGCACCGGGTGACACCATTTTAGGGGTGACACCCAATGGAAAAATTGCATATTTTCGATATGTCAAGAAACCAAATGATGACCAGGATCAGGACGCATCAAAATACTGCACTCAGCCTACCATTGATACTGACTCTACCGATACCAGCAGCATGCATTCTGTACAGCAAATAGTGGAGGAAATGGGAAAGATTCACGTGGAAATACAACTAAAAGACATGGATGGTTTGGAAACTGAAATGTCTGCTGATAATGATGATTTAAATCAAGATACTGAAATCGTAATGGTTAATGACAAAAGCTGGCACATTCGATCAGATGCTTCTCTCTGGAATGTACCAATTCCAGATTATTTTTGGTCTGAAATTATGTTTGTAGCTCAATATCCTCGAATCTTCAATAAATTTAAGAGGGTTGAATTGCGATATTGCAGCATTAAATGACGTAACCTATCAACTTGTCTCATCTTGCTTTGTTGGATTCATATTGAAAACTACACACACAAAATAATATATTGAACCAAGTCCCAGTTTTTACGTCTTGGAGTTGTGTATGTGTATCACAGTTTTTACGTCACTTCAAGTGCAGTAACGTGAGATGGGGGAGCGGGGGTGAAGTGAAGGGAACACTACACACATCTAAATCACTGGAGTTTTTGAAAGAAACGATTTGGTCATGCTTCCCAGCAGTGTTTCTTCCAGACCATTCCCCCGTGGAGGGTGGCCGGGGGGGGGGCATTTCAGATTTTCGGGGGACCTGTGACAGTGGCCAGAAGCGTAGCTAAGGTTGGAAAATGGAACGCCAATATGGGATGTGATGGTATTTAATGCATCAAAATAATGTTTTTCAGATTTGATGAGGGGGTGGGCGAGAGAATGAATCAATGTCCCCCTGGCGCCAAACACGCTGGCTACGCCTCAGCAAGGGGTGCTGATTGGGTTGTCATCCCAGATGTCAATTTTTATTTAAATGGAGGAGAAGGATTTCATGAAACATTCAGAGTTTATATCGTTAATTGGCACGTGGCATTGTCATGGCAAGTCTATGGTGGCACTGACATTAGCTTCTCCACTGGGTACTGTACCTATCAAAATTAACACTGGCTACTCCACTAGGTTACTTATCTATTAGCACTTACACTAGCTACTCCACTAGGTTGTATATCTATCAGCACTTACACTAGCTACTCCACTAGGCTGCTTATCTATCAGCACTTACACTAGCTACTCCACTAGGTTGTATATCTATCATCACTTACACTAGCTACTCCACTAGGTTGTGCATCTATCAGCAAAAAACACTAGCTACTCCACTAGGTTGCTTATCTATCAGCACTTACACTAGCTACTCCACTCGGTTGCTTATCTATCAGCACTTACACTAGCTACTCCACTAGATTGTATATATATCATCACTTACACTGGCTACTCCACTAGGTTGTGCATCTGTCAGCAAAAAACACTAGCTACTCCACTAGGTTGCTTATCTATCAGCACTTACACTAGCTACTCCACTCGGTTGTGTATCTATCAGCACTAACACTAGCTACTCCACTAGGTTGTGTATCTATCAGCAGTAACACTAGCTACTCCACTAGGTTGTGGATCTATCAGCACTTACACTAGCTACTCCACAAGGTTGTGTATCTATCAGCACTAACACTAGCTACTCCACTAGGTTGTGTATCTATCAGCACTAACACTAGCTACTCCACAAGGTTGTGTATCTATCAGCACTAACACTAGCTACTCCATTAGGTTTTGTACCTATTCTTAAATACTAACACTAGCTACTCCACTAGGTTATATATATATCAGCACTAACACTAGCTACTCCACTAGTTAGTGAATATATCATCCACAAAAATTATAACAAGTGCCATCTGTACTGTCATTTTTGTAGGGAAGAATTGCAGAAATCGAGGGTACTGTTGACTCTTGAGTAAAAGGAGAGGGGCCTGGGGAGCCCTCCCCAGCAAATTTCGTCTCATTTCAAAATTAAAAGGTGCATTTTGAAGTATACCTGAATTCATTTTTTCTCTTAGACTATAGCAACTGGAACAGGAATGTTTCAATCGTTAGAAGGAGACATTATGGCGCAGAGTGCCATGTATAAACTGAATTGCGGCGTGCCCCCATGGCTACTGTTTGGCACAAGCTTATATTCAACCCTATACTGTAACATAGATCAGCGAGTGGGAAGGGGTGTAGAATTTGAGGCTACTGAAAACAGTCGCACATATGAAAAATGCAAGGGTGCATTTTGGCGCATTCTTGAAATTGGTGTTTCTTTCAGGAAATTTTGAGGGAGGAATTTGATAGCTTCCTGTGCAAAGCGGTACAATTCGGCACAATTGGGAATATGTCTTACATGCCCAACATGAACTAAATGCATTCCAATTGTAGCGACCTTTTCCCTAGCTTAATATCGTTTATTAAATCTCTATAGTTCCCAGGAAATTTTTGATAAATTAAAAATAAAGAAAAATATTTGAGCGAATTACTTAAATTTAGTTTTGCAACATTCTACACTTGGAGAGAAATGGAAGAAATGCTAGTTTTAAAAAAAAAATATAGGTGTCACTTAACCTTAGAAACATCGTGTGAGCTCAGCGATCCCTACAACTGCAGTGGGCCTCGGATATTTAAGGCACATGTGTCAAACTCAAGGCCAACGGTCCACATCCGGCAAACAGTAAAATTATATGTTACGCACTGGCTTCTCGTGAGAAATTAATCTATTGTTTTAAGTTATTAATCTCTGAAGCCCTATAAGGTTAAATTATAAATTAATTTTATTTTTTACTTCGACACGGGAACACATTTAAATGGGTTTTATTTACCCTCTTCTCTCCCCCCCCCCCCTCCTTTTTGTAAATTGGTAAAAATGACTCACTGTGTCCCCAAATAATGAATGTCTAAAAAGTGTTCCGCCAAATAATGAATGTCTAAAGTATGTTGACAAATAATTAATGAATAAATAGTGTGTCACCAAATAATGAATGTCTAAAGTATGTTGGCAAATAATTAATGAATAAATAGTGTGTCACCAAATAATGAATGTCTAAAGTATGTTGACAAATAATTAATGAATAAATAGTGTGTCACCAAATAATGAATGTCTAAAATGTTTGTTGCCTAATGATAAATGTCTAAAAAATTGTGTCGCCAAATGATGAGTGTCTATAAAGTGTGTCGCCAAATGATGAATGTCTAAAAAAAGTGTGTCGCCAAATAATGAATGTCTAAAAAGTGGGTCGCGAGCATGAAACGTTGGGAAAGTATTTATTTAATGTTTACAGTTATTTCCATACACAACAAGTTTCACAAAACAACATACGATAACGTTTAAACAACTTACGCTAATGGTGTGATTTTAGTATAAAATTAATGGCATTTGTGTTTTTTGTAAATCAGATTGATGTTTTATAACACGAACTGATCACGTGATACAATGGCAATGACAAGACACTTACTAAAGACATCCTTCAGGCAGTTGACTTCTGGAGAAAGGTTACTACCAGTGCGAGCTGCATCCACGATGAATGTTGGAACTGACCAGGTTGAGGCCAGGCCGTTTGAGGAGATTCCAGGTCCTAAGGGGATCTACAAATTGCCTGTCATCGGCACAATGCTGATGTTTAAACCATTCAGTGAGTGGACATTCTAAATGTATCAATTATACATTGACATTTAGTGAGTGGACATACTAATTTTAGAATTATGCATTGAAATTTAGTGATTGGACATACTAATTTTATCAGTTATACATGTACATTAATTGAGTGGACATTATTTTAGCAATTATACATTGACATTAATTGAGTGGACATTATTTTAGCAATTATACATTGACATTTAGTGAGTGGACATACTAATTTTAGAATTATGCATTGAAATTTAGTCATTGGACATACTAATTTTATCAGTTATACATGGACATTAATTGAGTGGACATTTTAACAATTATACATTGACATTTAGTCAGCGGACATTCTAATTTTAGCATTTATAGATTGGCATTTATTGAGCGGACATATTAATTTTAGCAATTATACATTGAAATTTAGTGAGTGGACATACTCATTTTAGCAATTATACATTGACATTTAATAAATGGACATACTAATTTTAGCAATTATACTCTGATATTTAGTAATATTTTAAATAGGAATGCTTGTTTTATTAAGGTAAATATTTTATTCTTCAAATTCTCATAAATTGTCCATGCTTGTCTGTTTTTTCCGTTCACCAACCTGTACTTAGCATTGAGTTCAGAATTGCACTGAAGATCAATCAGCCACATTTTTAAAAAAAGAGGAAAAAAAAAGGGGGGGGGGGTGGTGGTGGTGGTCATCATCCACACTGAAGGAGAAAGAGTCGGCACAAATTTGAGAAGTGGCTGTGTGTTTTGAAGTCTGCAAACATGTGATCAAATTCTTCCTATAAATTTGCAATGGCATCAATATACTTACTACCGAATGGTGTGCCTGAGTCTGTGAGCACTTTGCATACGTTGGGAAATGGCAAAGGTTTCTCTGAGAACCCTAACACAAGTTCCACGTAGAATGCATAACGCATAAGCAACATTTACAAGATGCCCCTGGTCTTGTAACTTTTTGTTGAGTACATTCAGCTCTTGTGTAATGGCAACAAAAAAAACAAACAAAAAAAAACACGTCCAAGAGCAATTTAGAATCACATAGTACAGGAAGAACCAGCCCATTCAGCTCCATGAAGGCTTTGAAGACTAAAACGTGCTCAAAATGTAAACAGGTGCAGGCAATATTTATGAATTACTGATGCGAAGAAAGATGCTGTTGTATGAAGAATATCGTGACAAGGCTGACAGGCTGGGATTTTCCCTCACTCGTCACTCGTACACAATAGCGGCAATTTTAAAAGGGATTCTCTGATACTGGCTCAGATAGCTATGATTTACACAATTATGGTGGTGCATTACCCGCTAAATGAATTTTTAGACTTTTGATCTATCTATATACAACATTCGAAGCGTGTTTTCTAGAAAATCATGTTTGTCTAGCAAAATGCTATAAAATAAAAACTTTCATTATGATTTTAAAATGACTTTTACCATTGTAATCAACGTCCAAATCTATACAAACCTAATGCAAATCTGAACTAGACGAGCGGTTGAGATTCGACTAAGAGCGTCGTGGAGGGTTGCAGTACAGATATGAAAACGGGGAAAACGTGCGGGCGGCATTAACAGTAAACTTTGCTGTCAGGTATCGGGCCGCAAAATATCGTCTTGTGGGCCGCAAATTGCCCACGGGCAGCGAGTTTGAGATCCCTGGCTTAGTTGTTGAACGATCGTTTCGTTCATTCGATCCTAAACCACCCCCCTCCCCCCAATATTTCTATTTAATTCCGTTGAAATACAAAACAAAAAAGCTAAATACACAAATTAGAATGTAGCCAATTAGAATGTAGCCAATTAGAATGTAGCCAATTATAAAATAGAATGTAGCCAATTAGAATGTAGCCAATTAGAATGTAGCCAATTAGAATGTAGCCAATTAGAATGTAGCCAATTAATGTAGCCAATTAGAATGTAGCCAATTAGAATGTAGCCAATTAGAATGTTTGGGTCAGAAAAAAACACAGTCATTGTTCCACGCCGATTGAAGTGTTCGGTAAGTGACAGGAAGCTATATTTATCTAAATTCTGAGAAGTATATAGGACTTTTCATTGATGCTGAATACGGTGTGGTTGGGCGATTTTAAGTAAAAGAATCGGTAACAATTTAAAACATTAAAAATGAATTTTTACCCATTTATAGGGTTAAAAATATATATCATTTTACAAAATTTTCAATCTTTCAATGATTCATTCTTATTTATTTGAATAAAGAAAAGTTTTTTGAACACACATATAATACTATATATCAAAACCCAGAATTACTAAAGAATTGCTATTTTCCCCGATTCTTCACTAGTATCACCCCCTAACATTTGAGCACGATTGTCATATTTCGACTGCTGGGTTTTACCTTCTATTTTTTGTGTTGTATTTTGGACAGTGCTCTGACTGTTGTTTTTGAACTGTCGTCAATAATTATTTTGTTTGTTGTCTTGGACTTGACAAAATTAAAGCAGTTTTACTATTCAAGATTATTATATCATGCCACACTGCGTGCACAAATCTAAACGGCCCAGCGGCTTTCAGCAGTGAAAAGCAAATAAATAAAAGAGGCAACTCACTAAAATCAATACCAGAATGCATGCTTTGATATCAAGAACCTAAATGATGACCAGGGTCAGGGTTCATCAAAAGACGTTCCTCAGCCTACCATTGTTACTGATTCTCCCGATCCCAGCAGCATGCATTCTTAAAAGCAAATAGTGGAGAAAATGGAAGAGATTGGCGTGAAAGCATAAATAAAAGACATGGATGGTTTGGAAATAGAAATGTCCGCTGATTATGCTGATTCAAACCAAGATACTGTAAGTGAATTGGTTAATGAGAAAACTGGCACATTTGATCAGATGCTTCTCTCTGGAATGTACAGGTTTCAGATTACTGTCGGTCTGAAAGTATTCAAATATGGAGTACTTCGTTTCAGAACAAGAACGAACAGGACGGACCATTCAGCATAGTGAAAAGGCAAAATGCTAAATCTAAATAAGGTTTTCGCCAATTAACTAAACAGTGGATCCACTGGATGATGCAAAATGTCGAGAAAATACTGCGGTTGTGGATGGTTTGTGGACTCGTCAGGCAGAAATTTTATTGTTTTTGTTGCAGATTGTTTGCTGTTAATATTACAGAAAAAACGTCCAAATTTGTTACCGGCTCAAAGTCTTCCAATACTCTCGCTAAGCTTTTAATTTTTTCTTACGAAATGTGTGTATGCACTTCATGTGAGCAGAGCTTTTCACCACTAAGACTTATCAATAAATATTTATGATCCATCATGGGACAGTCTTGGCTTTCTGATGTGGCTCTGCTATCAATTGAAAGTGATACATTTATTTTGAACAACTCATTGACAGGTTTGGAGCTTTGAAGTCAATGAAAGGAACATTTTAAATAAAGTTAATTTAATTTAAAAATAGCTATAACTTAAAAATGTCACTGTTGTTAAATAAATTGACCTCATGACCTTTGATTTATGTTCGTTTTTTATTGTCATTGTTATGCTGTGGACTTATTTTTACAAGATGAAATCCATCTTAAAAGTTTGGTGGGGGGGGGGGTGATGTTTGACACCAGGAGTTTACCGCACCGGGTGACGCTAACCTTAGCTACGCCACTGTTTAATAATTAGTATAGAATTATTCGACTTAATGCTTATTAACTGCAAAAGGATTTTTTAAAATATCTAAAATAAGTGATTTACTTTGCAATCAGAAGACTCCACTGATATCAGTGACTTATCACCATTACTAATTTTAATAGGATTTATTTAGTTGGACAGAGTAAAAAAAAATGTGTTTAACCTCTTGCACATACTTTTCAAAAAAATGATTTTTTTCCCTCCATCTATTGTATTTTCAGCCGAATACACTGCAGAAACATTTCACTGTCTGATGGATAAAATGTTTGATACATACGGTCCAATCTTCAGAGCGAATTTCAGCAATCGGGCGATTTGTGTATCGAATCCCTTGGACTTTGAGACCGTGTACAGGAATGAAGGAAAATACCCAGTTCGGCCCCCCATTGGACTATTTGTGCAGTATTTTAAGAGGAATAACAAGACGATGGGTCTGAGCTCACTGTAAGTGGTCGTAGAATGGAGAGCTAAAAAAAAACAGCATTCCATGGAATGGGTATTTCATCTCTTTGCTGGGGTTTGACACTTTTTAATGTAATGGGAAAAGTGGAATGAGAAATGTTTAGGTTTGAAATTAAAAGACAGGACAGTGCATGTGACGTTTCGGCTAATTGCCTTCTTCAGCAGACGAGACAAAAAGCAAGAGCAGCAGAGAATTAGAAATTAACTAAGAAATTAACCTCATATATTATTCTTGATGTCAGGGGGCGTTCTGCCAATTTGGGGCGGTGTGTGAAAAGTAAAAGGGGCGTCTCTTTGCTGGAAAAGTTTTCGTCATTACTAAAACTTGATCTTCCTTCCCATTGCAGGAGCTCCCCCCCGGGGGGCATCCAATAATCTTGGCACTTAGAAACTGGGTTTATATAAATTTAGCATATCATAAGATAGGAACAAACCCCAAGTAAAAGTCACTGTATCTGACATCCTAAGGACTAGGCAAGTGTACAGTTCACTGACTCTTACAGCTTAAAAACTGATTCCATCGTGTACTTTTAGAAAAGAAGTCTTTCATTTATTTGATTTGTTAAGTCGAGATAAACTTAATTTTTAAAAATATTTAATTTGCATGGACTCAAATATATTAAAGTATCCCCCAAAATAATCAATTTTTGTGTGTGTAAACAGCACTGGAGAAGAGTGGCACGCACTACGTACTCCAGTCAACAAACGACTCGCGAAAGCTGACTCGGCCACACATTATCTGGAGCCACAAAACGCAGTTGCAGATGACTTTGTCAAGATACTAGGGTCACGTGATCTGAAAAATGTGGACCAGGCTGATCTGTTTTATCGCTTTGCCTCAGAAAGTAACCATATATTAATAAAAGCAACGGATATATATATNACATTTTACTGAATGACATAAAACTTAAGGAAAATATAAAGACAATAAGAAATAATTAATTTTATATTTTGCAATTTAATGAAATTTTAGTCACAAATGACGTTGATACAATGAATTTCCAATGTTTAGGATTGCAATTCGGGTTTATTTTTTTAAATTTGGAAGAAGCACTTTGGTTATTTCTTTAAAATGTGCTCTTAAGGCAAACCAAGTATTCACAGTAGTTAAAGAACGTCTGGTCTATTCTGGTTTCATGACTTCATAGTTATTTAAATATTAAATAATAACGCTCTAACTATTGGTCATTATGTTGGTTTGGCACTGACTTCATATACTTATGCCCCCTCCTACCCCCGACGCCCCCCCCTACTCCGCGAGCTTTTATCAAGGAGGCGGCTTCGCGGAGAGTTTCATTTGGCGATTAGTGGCAAGGTCTGAGGCCTACTGAAGGCTCATGGGATAGACTTTTTGGGTATCCTTAACAGTCGATCTACCTCAGGGGGGGGCGTTGTCCTTTTCTGGCCCTGATAACGGAGTCCCTGCTATTGTAGGCTTGCAACGTAGGTTGATCATAAGCATTCTGACCAGTTGGCAACACCATTTAATTTGATGGCTGTCCAAATGCTATTCGATTATGATCCCTTCTTGGTTTTACTAGCTGCTCGCCATCTCATCTCGCTGTTTAATAATTTTCACTCGAAACTTTAATTCAGAGCTCAGATCTAACACCGGTAACTGAGGGTAGAAATAAAGACAGTGTTAATAAATTGACATTGGTCTCGATTTGTATTCTTGGGTCTCGAAGCATCGGGGCTATTTGGTAGGCGACCGCACTTGCTCTCCTGCACTATTGTCTTTTTTCTGTATCAATTTTTGCGTCCACAACATAAAACTGTCAAAATATTTAAACACTTGGCATTGACGGAGCAGCTAAAGACTGAAAGGTATGTCCAATTTTTCTTGGGAACACTCTATTGACATGACCTTCGCCTACTGATAGGACCTACGTCCTATCTGTGTTTACTTTCTTCCATAAAGTTGGAAGGCGCTTCTCGGGCTTTGATCCTGTTCCTTGTTGATGTTCATGATTCATTTGTCATCTGCAAATAGCAAATCATTGAGTGTCTTGTGACTTAGATTGGAAACGCAGCCCTGTATCATTCTAGATTTTTACTTTTAACACAGAGTCCAATCTGGGCCAAACACAGCACTTCTTGTATTTATCGCCATGATTTCATCAAAGAGCTGCCCTTGTATTCAGTATACTTTCAGCTATTCCCAGAGCTTATTTCTGTCCACCCTGTTATAAATCCTTTCCATCTTTAATAAATGTAACATTTAAAACAAACTCAACACTACAAAAACTAATTACAAGCAAACCAAGTCAAAGTCTTTCTACCCATTTCAACCATAAGCAACATCCCCAATAGGCATTAACATGGAAAATAAGGTAGACCATCATCCCAGAAGGTGTTTGCGAAATAGATGTGTCTTTAAATCCGTTTTAAAGGACTCCTGTGTCTGGTTGTTTCTGAGATCAACATTTATACTAAATTGTGAAGTTTGAAGACGACCAATCACAGCTTTGCAGGTTTTCTCAAGTGTTCAAAATTTGACTTCCGGCTAAAAGTTTAGACTTCTGGGTGGTGTAATAATATAAAACACTCGTTTTTCTTAATTAACAAAAAAAAAAATGTAATAATTTTTAAAACGAATGCCAACGTAAAAAATTATAGTTATAGATTTAAAATTACAAAATATTTCTGCTCTGTATACAAATTGTATAACATATTTATTTAAAGTGTTGAACTCTCATCGCCATCTTTATGTCAATTTTATATAAAATAAATGACCAATCTTTTAAGTCGTCTTTATATTTAAGGTATAGCAGTTGTCACTTTCAACCAAAGACTGGGTTACCTAAGTGACGAAGGGGACAAAGAATCGGTCAGGTTTCTGGAAGCTGTTAAAAGTAGCATTGGACTATTGAACCAATATATTTCTGGCAAAGCACTATCTCCCAACTGGTACAGAAGCTCATTGTACACAGAGTTTGAAAGAGCGTTTGGTCTCATGTTCAGGTTGGTTAATCTATAGTCTTATGCACAGGATGGTGAACGTATAGTCTTATGTACAGTTTGTGGAATGTATAATCTTATGTACAGTTTGGTGAATGTATTGTTTGGTATTTAAAGATGCCGTACTTGACTTTTCTCTCTCATGTAATAGTTAAAACATACTTAAGTCTATAGTAGAATTTTTCATCTGATATATTAAAATAAAAATTATAATATCCTTTAAATTTAGCAAACATATTATTTATATGTGGTTAAAAAATCATCAAATAATTCCAGAATCTCAGATAAACACGTAAGAAAAGCCAAGGATCTCATTGAACAGAAGACAAGGGACGGAACTCTGAATACAGAGGAGCCTAACTTACTTCTCTCCCTTGCCTCAGAGAAAGGTCTTTCCGAAGCTGACGTCAGTAACATCATGCTCTCATTGTACGTTGGCGGGACAGACTCGGTGAGTACTCTATATTCGGATATCTTGTGTGTACGGGGTTGAATGATGCAGTAAATATTTTGTATTCGGATATCTTTTGTATTTGGGTGTTGGATAATAGTGGTTGTATCATTTACAGGAACTGTTTAGCTAGTCCTGTTAAATATCTAGCGCAGCGGCTCTCGGCCATTTTGAATCCCCACACCCTTTGATTAGACTTTTAATTTATGCGTTCCCCTTCCCCTATATTTAATTATATCTTCTTTTAAATAATTGGGATTTAAAAAAAACAACATTTTTTCCCCCTTTTCCTCCATTATCATTAAAATTTTCCATACCCCAAGTGGTCCGTCACGAACCTCGGGTACGCTTACTACAGGCTGGGAACCACTGGATTAGAGTCCCGTGTGCTCTAATTTGACTTAAAATGTATAGTTAACATGTGCCGAAGGACTGTTTTAGTTGGATAGGCAGTAACTTATAAAAAGAATAAAGAGTCTTCTAGGCTGATAGAGAACGCACACAATGACATACTAAGACAAGATAATTTTTTAAAAACTTCGTATTTGATTATTTCTTTAAGATTTCTATTTCCAACATGGAAATAGTTCTCTTATGAAGTAATAAAATAATGATGCGGTTTTAAAAAATATATGTTTCAGCTTGATTGAACCTCGCAAAGCTTGGCTAATGACATGACATATTATAAAAGTGAACTGAAACATTCAAAGGGATTTAATGAGACTAAACATTGGCACATACATGGGCACGAAGTTGGCCACTTACATAATGTATATCTCAAGGAAAACTCTCTTTTGGTGCTCTCCTTTGAAAGAAAATTCCGTACCCATATATTTAAGATGTTCTAAAGTAGAAAATAAAATCAATGAAAAATAACACTAGGAGACTTCAATGAATTTAAAAAAACCAGATTAAAAGTTTATAATAAAATATAATTTTCATACTTATTTCATTTAAAAAAATTATTTTAATGTTATCATAAATGGTTCATATGAAATATAACCTTTTCATTTTATTGTAGTTTGTAAATTAATTCGTTTTTTTTTTCCTTTCCATAAGACATAGTCAAGTAGAAAGTTTTCTTTTTGTTTTGCAGACAGCAAAAAACCTGCAGGCCTTTTTCTATAACTTAGCCAAGAACCCAGACAAACAAGAAATTCTGAGAAAGGAAATATTGGAGGTCATTGGCGATGAAGGTCCCTTAACGGACCAGGCTCTCTCTAAAATGACCTACTTAAAGGCATGTCTTAAAGAATCTTTCAGGTGACATTTGTCTTTAGTCAATACATATTGAATATTTATCCTTAATTTTTTACTGTTTTATTTAAATTTGCCTTAAATAAGTTTAATTGATGCATATTTAACCTGCTACAATAAAAAGTGTTAACAATTTAGTTTAATCCGTTTAATATTTTCATAAAAGTAACAGAAATCGTTCATTTATGTATGTAAACAAAAGAAGTTTTTCATTTTTGCTTGCAGATTATATTACCCAACAGCTAGTGGACCTAGCAGGGTATTACCCGTGGATGTCGTTCTCAGTGGATACAAAGTACCAGCTGGTGTAGGTGATATGTTTGTAATAAATTAAGAAATATTTAAAATTATTTCATCGATTCAAAAATATAGGTACCTAAAAAACCCTACAATGTTTTGAAGCGTTTATTATTGACCGATCTTACCAAACAAACAAAGAAACAAATATCAACAAAAACGAATTTGAATTAAGATGTATTTGACAAACATGTGGGGATAAGATAGAAGACTGTCACACCTTAAATGGATCTGACAAAATATAATCCTAACAAGACTATTTCATTTTTTTAGACAACTCTAATGATGTTTAACCCAAGGCCCTCCAGACTGAACTTTGAAGATCCAGACAAGTATTTACCAGAACGATGGCTCAGGTCCAATGAAAGCAGGAAACAGGACTCCACCAATAAAATGGCCGTGCTGCCCTTTGGTCATGGTCCAAAAAACTGCGCTGGTCGACGTTTTGCTGTTCAAGAAATTTATCTGGCCACTGCTAAGGTATTGGGTTAAGAGATTAAACTTTACACTGTTAAATCTTTGTGCATCGTCATAGCAATGACGTCGAGAAGAAAGACTGCATTCTGAGTAGGAAATGATTAAAAACAAAGTATGGTCAAACATGAAAAAAAGAACACAACAAAACAACGAACGTGTCGGCAGGAAGCCTTCATTAACTCACAAACAATAGATAACAACAGAATTAAAATGTTTAAAAATAGCACTTAGCTGAAAAGTAGTATGTAAAAGGGCAGGAGAAGAATTTTGAAGACAATAAGTAGGTAAGAGATTAAATACAGACTAAATGGGAAATAAAAGCGTTAAAGTTAGTCCATTTGGATTGGTCGCAATGTGGAGGGGGTGGGCAAAGGCTCAACCTATGAATGAGGACATGACGTTTATGGCAGTGGTGTCAAGGTTTCATAGGTCAGGATACGCTTGCTACAAACACACTCGGCTGGGTGTGTTTGTGCTAGTCACGATCGCACTAATTGTAAAATCCGCCGTGATCTTGAGGTCACTTCTACTGCAGTATTTAGAGACGGACACTGTTTATCTTCCATAATATTACATAGGCGTTCAGTGTCTCTGTGAGAGAGTGAGCTTCTTGTCTCCCCTATGTACCACATCTAGCAAGGGTGCAAACAATGGCATAGACAACATTGCGGCTGGTACAAAGGAAACCGTCCCTTTTATGAAATCTGCCCTTAGGGAAGGGTATCTGTTAAGTCTGGACGATAAAACTGTAATTATTGTAACGGCTGCGTCTACATGGCTTGGTCCCAAAGTGGGAGGGGACAGCATTGATGCATCTTCACATAAGGAGGTCTCTTGTATTTTTTCACGTCTGAGAGCAATGAGAGGCGGGAAGAGAAAATGTAACGTGTGTCAGTGTCAGCCAGAAGTGTGGCACTGTTTTTAAGGAAAAGACCTTTGGCCACTAGATTATGAGGATATAAGTGTGACAAAATTTGGTCTTGTAAACATTGTCCCTCGGGCGTTACCTAAGGGCATCTGCACGGATAATATTCTTAACCCGTTGTAGGACTGATAAATTTACTGTGTACGGAAATGACCTTCATCGGAAATAGTCGATCATCTCGAGTGTTTTGTCCCAAAATGTATCCTCCGACCGACAAAGTAAACGAAGGCAAAGTAATGGAGAAAAAGGAAGGGAACATTTAAGGGATTTACTGTGGGAGGAAGAGTAGAGTAGATAGCTGTGGCTGTCAGTAGGTTTAAAGTAGGCGGAAGTGAGTAGGCTGTCTTTCGGAAGGTTGACAGTAATGTCCTAAAGCCTGACTGAGGTCTCAGAGACAAGAGATGTGAATTTTATGGAGAGGTGAAATAAAACTATAAAGTTAATGAATTGGTAAAGTTCACTCCTCTTCTTATTGGTGACCCTAAAACCGTCCTCATTGTACCTCCTATAGAATTCAGGGAGGCTTTCAGTGTAGTTTCCCTCACCCATGTGTTCAAATGTGTCCCATAAACAAACATGCGTAGCAGGGTCCCAATTTAGTCCCCTTAGCAACAAGACTAATTTGATCGATGATTAGACCACCAAACTTGACTTTCAGACATGAAACAACTGCCCCTTTCATAAAGGTCCTTCTTTTTCTAAACCTTAAGGGCCCACGATCAATTTATTGATCAGTTTGGCTCCTATGCATGTAGATGGGATTTGCAATGTTTCTGTTCCTGGTGTTGATGAGGAAATTTCACTGATTTCTAGTGTCACTTTTTGAGGGAATCATGCACTAGGGGTCCGAAGGCTTGAGGCAATAGACTTAAATGTGTCTAGTGTTGTCACTTCAACCGCTCCTGATATGAATGCTTTAAATTTTAAGAAAACAAAATACCGAGTATCTGCATATTATTTTAAAGATCTTGTCTCTCTTTTGTTCAGGTTCTCCAGAAGATGAAGATAGAGTTAGAACCCGAATCCTGGAACACAAAGTTCAAGTACACAGCGTTCATTGAACCAGAAAAACCGTTGAAATTTAAATTTTCAAACCTGTAAAATAATAATAATTTTGTCGTTAATGACATAAAAAATGAGTTATAAAATACTTTTAATCCACTGAAGAAATAAAAAAAATGTGTATTTTATTTAAATACAGATGACTTGAAAGGTAATATTCAAACACCCCACTCCTGTAATACACACAAAATCTTTGTTCTCCATTAATTAAATATTAAAACTAGAAGACAGGACCCGATGTTCCTGTGATAATAATGGAAGTCATTTTGTTAAATATTCTACTTGCTATTGCAAAGTCTCAACATTTAACATTTTACTAACAACAAATTCATACATATATAACTGAAAACTGAAAAAGTACAACAATTTTTGACGACCTTGAAATATATATTTAACAATTTGGCATTAACTCAATTTGATATATTGGTATCCTCATTGGACATTTCTCATATCTAAGGAAGAATCTCTTTACTAATTATTACATTTAATAGCCTTGAGTTTCTTTTTATTTTTTAAAAAGAAATATTATTAATCTCATAAAAAATTTGCATCCAAGTTTAAGACAAAGAAAAAGTATGTTACTACTATTTTGCGAAAACAACATTAATAATTCACATTCTCCTCATAATTGATTTACGAGCTAATTTATCAAAGGCTGAATGTCCCACTTTGTCTCTACTTTACCTAGCCAAATATTTACATGACTGAATGTCCCAGCTTGTCTGTATCGTAGCTGTCCAACATTTACATGGCTGAATGTCCCAGTTTGTCTGTATTGTACCTAGCCAAACATTTACATGAAAATTTAAACATTTGGTTTTAAAGTTGTACAGGTCAAACAAAATTTTAATAGATTTAATATATACATTTTTGTTAATGATTTATTTTCCCTTCATGTTGATATAAATAAACATGGGGGACAATGAACAAAATAAACCAAAATTAGACATGTGTGTTATTGTTAAAAACTTATTAAAATCAAAAGACTATGTCATTTTGATTGTTTTTTTTTCCTTTAATAAATGATCACCTCTAATCTCGACACAAAATTCTCTAAATATTGACAATATCGAAAATAACGGGATTCCAGAATTCGTAAACTTCAATATCGAAAATATCGGTTTTAGTAAAAGGGACCGGTTTTGCGACCCTTAGTGAACACTGCAATTAGCTAATATAACGTAGTCAGCTGGTACTTAAATATTTCATCACGGATTTCGAGAATGGGATACGTGTTGGTTGAAAAAAAAATGTCATGTAATTTTTTGCCGACTTCCCAATGAAAACAAAACAACAACAAACTTTGCTAATGTTTAGACTCCATTAGCAGGCGTATGAAGTGGGCTGGGGCGAGGGGGGGGGGGCTGGCCGGCCCCGGGCGCGGCAGGGTGTTCTAAATGGGGAAGGGGGTCGCGGGCCCCAGCTACGCACTCTGCCACATTTAATTTTTGGCCGACTTCCCAATGAAAACAAAACAACAACAAACTTTGCTAATGTTTAGACTCCCTTAGCAGGCGTATGGAGGGGGCTGGGGGGGGGGGGGGGGGGGCTGGCCGGCCCCGGGCGCGGCAGTGTGTTCTAAATGGGGAAGGGTGTCGCGGGCCCCAGCTACGCACTCTGCCACATACAAGGCACACTTCAAAACCAACCGGCGTGAAACGCCACTGTAGGCAGGCTAAGCCCTGTAGGCGCACCACACACACAACATCAGGTTTACCCAAGATGTGTTGACCTGAGTGAATGATCCACGGTGCGAGACATTTCCGACCAGAACAAGTCAGTGCTACCAGTGGTCAGAGGGTAGTTTGTCAGTGGATGTTTGTCGCTCATTCTACTTCTGCTAATGGTAGGTTGCCTACTACTTACTACGTGGGTTTATTGACTAACCTGAACACATGATGACCGACACTTATTTTGGGGGAAGACTTTTAAACCTTAGACCAGGGGTCACCAACCCAAAATGCTTCACGGGCCACTTTAATGGCGAGTTTTTTTTTTTTTTAAATTTAATAATATTTTAAAATAATAATTCACTAAATAGTGTGCAAAATGATTGATCTCTTCTTAAAATGAAATGCACAATAACAAACATGTCACTATATGTGTCTATCTTTTCTCTCACATTTTGTTATAATTGTATTTGTAATATTTAAAA